ATTCCCCAATTCCCACATTTCCCAATTCCCACATTTCCCAATTCCCATATTCCCCAATTCCCTAACTCCTCAATTGTGAAATTTTTAAACGAAGGAATTAAAAATTTTTTCAATTAAAAAGTCTTTACATTTTATCTCTCGAAGTGAAACCTAATAATGTTTTTTTTTCTCTGCGCTCGTTCACATAGAGTGTATTTAATATCTGATTTGAAGCTCCTTCTGCTTTGAGGCATAGCTCATTTTCTTGAGAACCCTTCAGTACATCATGCTTTCGTGACTCACTTATACCAACGTAAATGCGCATGAATGCAGAAGTATGTACCATCAACTTTTACAAGACACTGACCTTTTGCACTTATATAGTCAACGAGGCTGATGAAGCTGCGTTTATTTATAGACAGGATAGTTCTTTGTCTAACAGAGTTTCTGCTAAAACAGGAGATGTCACTCATTTTACTGCTCTGTAATGCAAATTTATTTTGACGTCCCGTAACTTGGGAACGGGTGTTGTACCAACTTATAATTTACTTAGTTAATAGAAATGCAAATGGCGGAACGCTCCTTCTATCTGTCCGGAAGACAAAATGGTCGTCAGGTTGCAACTTAATGTATGACTTATTTATTTGATGTACATATATGTATTTATATAATGTACATATACTTACTTATATAACGTACTTATTTATATAAAATTTATAATATAATGTACAACTTAAAAATCATCTGAAACTTACAATTCAATCAATAAAAGTGTGAAGGTGTCCTATCACTATGTCTCCAATAATAAGGCTCCAACATGGAGGCTTCTCTAAAATTACTCTTAATTAAGACCCACCTCCAATATTGCACCGTACATGAAGCCGATACTAATTATAAGGTGAAAATTGATCGACTACGTATATGTATAGACCGTTATCAACTGGTCTAGTATTCAAGCTGTGTAGAGGGAAACGCGTGAGGTTAGCGCGTGATTAGAAGTTAAAAATCAATGGCGGCTTTATATTCGCGACAATTTTATTCGACGTTGACCCCGCGTCTTTTGCTAATCGCTGTCATTACCAGCGGTGATGATGCAGTACGAAAATTTGCATAATATCACCGGCCTACGTGATATTGTACAAGAAATTGCATAAACGAAGAATGCGACTTTTGCGTAATAGTAAGGTTAATGTAATATAAAAAATTCATTGATTAATTCTTAATGGAGAGTAGTAGAGAACAGTTGGTACTGAAATATAACTTCCTAATTTCCCAATTCCAAATTCCCCAATTTCCACATTCACCAATTCCCATAGTTTCGAATTCTCACATTCCCCAATTCCCACATTCCCCAATTCCCACATTCCCCAATTCCCACATTCCCCAATTCCCACATTCCCCAATTCCCACATTCCCCAATTCCCACATTCCCCAATTCCCACATTCCCCAATTCCCACATTCCCCAATTCCCACATTCCCCAATTCCATACTTCCCCAATTTCCACGTTCCCCAATTCCCACATTCCCCAATTCCCACATTCCCCAATTCCCACATTCCTCAATTCCCAAATCCCCCAATTCCCCAATCCCCCAATTCCCCAATCCCCCAATTCCCACATTTCCCAATTCCATCATTCCCCAATTCCAC